AAAAAACCAAAAAAAAATCATCGAATATGAAGCTCAGCCAACCTGTTATTCATTGAACAGCCCGTAGGCCATTCATTCATAAATTCAATTGAAATGAATCGTTGAAAAAGATGAAGAAGATTGAAGAAGAAGAATCTCATCAATGTGTTTACATCACTTGATTTTTTTTTTTTGAACAGGACTGACTGACAGAATTACTGAATGAAATGAATGTTTTAAATGATGACAAATGATGATAATGATGATGACAAATGTGTTTTTTTTTAACCCTTTACTTAAAAAAGGGGTGCTGCTGTTGTTGTTTCACATATATTAATAGCAGTATATTGAACTCTTTAATGTGATTTGTCCGATGATGATTAAAGATGCGCAATCTTTTTTTTCCAGAACCAGGATGCTGTTTTAAAAGGTTTTTTTCTTCAAAATGAAAAACATTGATTTTTTTCTTTGAATGAATTTCCTAATTATCATCATTAATATGATTCCGGTAATTAAACTTTGAAAACGAAAAGAACAAAAACAAAAATTCCGTCTAGACACTTTGGGTTAAGTGATTGATCACAATTATTTTTTACAAATTTTGATTAACTTGAAATTATTATTAGTGAAACAGAAAAAAATTAACCCTTTCATGCTTGTCAAATCAGTTGTAATCGTGGTGTGGTTGGTGGTGCAAGGTGATGGTCATAATAAATGATCCAGACATATAAATTGATTTTTCCACTGAAAAATGAAAGATTTTTTTCGTTCAATAATTTTTGGTTGAAATTGACATTTGTAAAATCAAATTCCACCCATCCATTTTTGTTTTCCTATTTTAACCTAACCCTTTTATCTTTCTCTCTACATTCAATTTTGTTTTTTGTTTTCAACTAATTACGCTACAAATGAGTTGATTTCTCAATTCGGATTCCATGATTACTAACCAACCACCCACCCACACACGCAGACATTATCCAACGATGATAATAATAGCCAATAATTTATTTATTAGCCAGCAGAAACAAACAGAAAAACAATATGTAAATTGATTCATTAACAAAATTACTAATAATAATAATAATTTTGGGGTTATCTTGTTTATCTAACTTGACTATTTTAACCTCATAATTCAAGTATATAATTCAGTGATTTGTTCTGTGTGTGTGTGTGGAAATAGCGGGCTTTTTTAATTTTGATAATGATGAGATCATTATCAGATTAGATTATGAAATTTTATTCATTTTGAATAAAAAAAAATTTACATAACATTCGTTTTTCTAGATTTGATTTGATTTGATCAATTAGAAAAATTAAACAAAACAAACAAAACCTTTTCAAATGACAAAAAACAATTGAAAAAAAGATGTTTTTTTCGGGAAAATTTTTCCAGAAAATTACCGCGGTCAAATGAACAAAGAAATTCATGAAGGGAATAATTATTTTTTCGCTATTTTGACAGTTGTGTGCGTGTGTGTGTGTGTGTTATCTGGACTTCTTATTCATTCATTTTAGATTCTCACCGTTTTAATGATGATGATGATTGTTTTTCGTTTTGTTTTTTAGTCGTTGTTTTTCGTTAACACTAAATGAACCAGATCTAAATAATCACATCATCATTGTACGAAAATAACAACTTAACGAACAAACAACAATAAGAAAAAATATAATAATTATTCCCAAGATGAACAAAGAAAGAGAGAAATTTTCCATTTCGCTTTCTAAATGATGATCATTTCGTTTTCGTTTGTTACACGAATTTGTTTGGTTTGGTTTGGTTTGTTTGTGACACATTCGAAAAAAAGAACATCAAATGAATATCGGGTGTTCTTTTTTGTTTTTTGTTTTTCGAGTTTTGAAGTTTTTATTGCAATTTTTTTGTTGTTGTTGGTCTAATGGAGTTGTAAATAATAGGAAAAAAAGACGCACACAACGTGAGCAATCGTACCAGAAAAACAGAACCAGAAATGTTTTTTTTTATTCATTCATTCAAGATCAGATAAGTCTGGTCATTCTCTGTCCATCTGTGTCGATATAGTCGGAGGAGGGGAAAAAAAGAAGATTTTATTGAAAATTTATTACCAGAAACAAACAAACAAACAAAAAGAGAATAATTGCCTTTTATTAGCTTTCTGTTGTTGTTGTTGTTGTTGTCGATGATCTAAAAATGTGATGTAATCATGGATGATGTTTTGGATAATTGTTTCTGGATCGCGTGCGTGCATGTGTCTGTTTTTCTGTTGTTGTTGTTTTTTTTTTTTTGTCACAATATCCACATCTAATGATGGTCAGTCAGTCAGTCAGTCGAAAGAAAAAGTTTGGAAAAGCAAGCAGAAAAAAACTATTTTGACTATATCCACTGTGTGTGTGTGGGTTTAAATGGCCAATTCGTGATCAATATATAATACAGGGGGGGATGATGATGATGATGATAAGTGATGAACGAATTCATTTATTCATTTTCAAATTGAAAATTGTCTGTTGTTGAGTTTAATGATTCAAATCGTTGATAATTTTTCTGGTAGCCGGTCAGTCAGCAGGGGGAGCAATTATTGTTTGGTTGTCTGGATTCTCTGGGTTTTTTTTTGTTTGCCCCAAATTTGGAAATACCTTATTTTTGGGAAGCCAAAATCTGAATTTCAAACGAAAGAAAAAAAATGGAATTCCAAAATTTTGAAAAATGACAAAAGTGAAAAAACTTTTCATATGCTGATTTTTGAAATACGTGTTTCTACCAACAGCAGCAGCAGCAGCAAAATTATCAATTTTTATCACGTAGTTTGTTGTTGTTGTTGTTGAATATTCTTGGTTAATAAAAAAAATTCTTGAATTCTTTTTAGTCCCATCCCACATAAGCGAAAAAAAAGTTTGATTGGTCTGAGACGAGGGGGATGGATTGGAAAAAAGTTTCCATAAATTCCATTTTTCTTGAGGGGGAAAATTTTCCGAAATTAATTTTTCCAAAAAAAAAAATGTAATGATTTTTTTTTTGGAAACTCGATGGATTGTGTGGTTGAATGGATCACACCATTAAGGCTTGATTTGAGAATTTTTTTTTCTTCTTCTAATTTCGAAATAAGCAAAACGAAAAACGAAGCAAAATTCCATAAGAATTTCACCGAAATCTCTTTTCGAAATAGAAAATCCTCATGTATTATAGTCCAGATGTGTTCCAACAACAATGATCATCATCATCATCGAAACTGATTTCGGGAAGGGAGGGGGGAAAGCGAACATTCGAAATAAGCGTCGATGTGATCTGGATTTTCCATTTTCTCATCTTCATTATTCGAGGCAAAGAGAGAGAGAGAGAGAGAGAGAGAGAGAGAGAGATCATTGAATTGGAACCAGAATCTTCTTGAAAATTCTTGAAGAGTTCATTTCAATATACACACCTACTACCATCCATATCAAACAAACAACTTTTTTCAAGTGTGATTGGTAATAATAATTTTTTCGGTCGAAAATCAAATTGAATTCTTGAAAATTTCCCGTAATTTTCTTTTTTTTTCCGTAAAGTTTTTCCTAAAGTTCAATGAATTTTTTTTCTTCTTCTTTCAAATCGATTTTATGAACACACAGTGCTGGATAATGATTGTTTTTCGGTTAAAGAATTTTTCTTGGAAAAAATGAAAAATTTAACCCCCCCATTTTCCCCATTCTATTTTGTTTTTACACCGACACACAATGAATAAAAACACAAGATGTTTTCATTGGAATTTTTCCATTGAATATTGTGTGATTGTTTACTCGGTTTTCAGCATCATCATCGTCTATTTTTTTATTTTTTATTTTTGCTTCGATTTTGCTAATGATGTTTTTTTTGGTTGCTTCCAATTTCATCATTGAAAAGAAATGAAATGAATATGAATCAAGAGAGAGAGAGAGAGAGAGAAAAGCGATTAGAAAATATGGTATATTTTTCTTTTGGTGGCGGTGGTGGTTTTCGATAACCATAATCATCATCATCATCATCGTCATCATCATCATCAGACTGATGATGTTGCGGTTCTCGGTTCGGGAATCCATCATCATTTCCAATAACCATATTCTTTGTTGTTGATTTGGTTTTTTTTCGGTTGATTTTTTGCTTGCTTGATGATCGTGTTTGTTTGTTTGTTTGACGATTTTTTCCATCAAGTTTTCTGGCTTAATGGTTATTCATTCATTCATTTGATCGGGTTTTTTTTCTTCTTCTTTTTTTCGGTTATTGTCGGATAAATACCATTCGATTTTGAATAATAATAATGATGATTGTAATGGACGAAAAACTATGGCCATTTTTTCGTTTCGTTTGTTTGTTTGGGTTAAAATAGATATGATTTACAAAACGGTTATTTATTTATTTTGATGTTCGAAGGTTTATCTCTGAACCGAACAAACACAAAAACTCAATCTGCGTTCGAATTCATTCAGTCCGTTACATCATTTATGAATTTTTGGAAAAGCGAACGAGAAAAAAAAAATTCCTCCCTCCTTTTCTCATCCTCTCCCCCCCAAAAAAAAAAATAAAGTAATTATTTTCCTATAATGTCTCTCTGTGTCGAAATAGTTTTTTTTCTCAATTCTGAATGATAATAATCTTTTTGTGTTCGGGTAATCTTCTTTTTTTTATCGGCTGACTGTCTGGATACACCCTTTTTTTTGTTGTCGCCTATTTTGACAACAACAACAGCCAACCAAAATGAATATCCAGATGGAAAATCTTGATAACCAGGGAAAATTTGTTGTCGAATAATGAAATGACCAATTGTTTGTCCAAACAAACCAAAAACTAAAACCTAATTTAGCGTTTTTCCAAATTCATTTTTTGATTGATTTGATTGATTGATCGATTGAAATAGAATTTGATAACATTGCATGTCAAAGAAGATTGGATAAATTGATTTTTTGCTGTTGTTGTTGTTGAAAAAACACACGTGACTTTTGATGAAAATCGAAATAGATTTCTTATCTCAAAAAAAATTATTTGATTATTTTGATCTAATTTTTTCTGTTTTTTACCTTTTAAAAACACAGGCGAAGAGATCAAAGGTCATGATCCATCCAATAGCCATCATCATCATCATCTATCTCATCACCATCTTCATCATCATCATCATCCACATCATCGTCATCATTATCCATCAACACAATTACCACTTCCACCACCACCACCACCACCATCATCATCATCACATCATCAAAATATTGTTACTGCAATCCAAAATCAAATTTCAACATCAGCAGCAGCAGCAAATACAGGTGGAAATAGCGTCAGCGGTGACGATATTACCTGCGGTGGCGGAATGTATGGACGTATTGTTACCCAAGATCAATTGATGGCTTTAGCAGCTGTCCAACAACAACAAACTAGTTCATCAACATCAACATTATCGTCAACATCATCTTCCGTTTCATTGACGCAACAGTTAACACCGCAACCGCAAATACCATCAACAATAACACAGCAATCATCTTTTATGCCATTTACATCATCATCATCATTATCAACGACGGCAACAACAACATCAAATATGGTATCATCAAATATTCCTCATCATCATATAGGTGGCGCTAATAGTGTATCATCAGTTGCTATATTAACAGCAACAGCAGCTACATCCGTTGATTCACAACCATTATTATTATTACAACAACAATCATCACAAGATAATCTGGTCATTATGTCATCATCATCATCATCCACCACATCTTCGTCATCATCTTCGATGACACACTTACCACCACCGCCACCACCATCATCAGTTGGTGGAAATTCATCATCATTAATTTTAGGACAAAGTTGTAGTAATTGGACTAGTAATAATAGTGGTGTTTTACAAAATTCAATTCAATTACAACAATCATCATCATCATCATCAATGTTGAATGATAATTCTGATTTTATAAGAACCGATAAATGTAATAATCCTACTATAACAACATCATCAACAACAACAACATTAACGACTATTTTAACTGATTGTCAACCAACAACAATGACAACAACGACTATTATTACTTCATCATCATCATCAAGTATGAGTGGAATTGTTACTTCCGCTTGTACTAATGTTACTACATCAACTACAACTACTGCTACAAATACGATACAATCATCATCATCATCATCATCAGCGGCAACATCAACAACGACAATTAAATCACAACGTGATGTAACACAGGCACCAATACGTAAATTATCGGTTGATCTCATCAAAACTTATAAACATATTAATGAGGTAATTATAAATTGATATTGATTGATCAGAAATCGATAATATTATTTTGTTCTTTTTTTTTTCTTGGAAATTTTCTTTCTTTCTTTTGGGGAGAAAATTTCCCAGGAAAAACCTCTTATCATGCCACCACTCTATATGTATTTTACTTTCCTTTTTGTTAGTAACAACCAAAAAATTAACTTCCACTTAAAGATTTTTTTTATCATGTCATTGCATGTTTAAGTGGTGTGATATGGTGTTAATGTTTGAAATGTACGAATTTTTTTTTGTGGGGGGGGAATATTCTCATTTAATATGCCAATCACACACATACCAAACAACCAGTGTGTGATTCCGGTGAAAATGTGTGTATCTCGCCCAAAATCGAATCGAATTCACTTTTTTTTCTGAAAGACTACGAAAAACCAGAAAAGAAAATTATTAAAAATCAGAATAAGAATCACACACACACGAACCACCACTTTTACCCAATTACAAAAAATTTCTTCTTTTTTTTCAAAAAAAAAAAAAATTAGCAAAAATTAAATTTCACCAAGCATTTTTGGTTTTTGGATTCCTTTCCTTGGTTCACAAACGTTCGAAACAGCTATTTCTACCTAAACGGATATTCGACCCAACGGAAAACAGCAATTGATTCACCTTATTTGAAAGAGAAAAAAAATCAAGCTTGGATTATTATTTATCATTCTTTTTAAACATGCCAAATAAAAAAAATTATATTAATATTCGAATAATAATAATAGAAAAAAATCATAATAAATTGATTGATGAGATGCAAAAAAAGAAAAAAAATCTAATTTGAATGAATAGGGTGTGTGTGTGTGTGATTGGGGTGTAAATAGTTGATCCTTACTCTATTTATTAAGCAATAAAGAATTCAAGGAAGCAAAGAATAAAATTCTTCCATTCTCTCTTTGCTCATCAAAAAAAATTGAGTTTATAAAAATATTCACTACCACTAAAGATACGACTGATTGAGCATCATTTATATACATTCATGGATCATCATCATCATCATTGAAGTTCAAATTGCAGCATCAATTCTTCTTCTTCTTGATATCATGATTGATGGCGTGTGATGTGATGTGTGTGTGTTCACTATACTCACTACCAGACCATATTCAACCATAAAAAGAATGTTTTTTGTTTTTTTGGTCGAAAGAATTATATTTTCAATCCAATAAACAGCAGCATCATTGCAGTAGTGAGTGTGTGTGTGGAGGAGAATCGTGTGTAGTTCGTTCGCGGGCAAGTGAAGTTTATTGCGAAATGAACAACATAAAAAAAACAAGATGAGAAACAATTAATCATGATTGTGAAAAGCAATTGATCCCGGTGATAGTCGTCGGCCGCGGCGGCAACAACTAAAGGGTTAAATAATTTTAGATTCAACACACACCACTGGCACTGAACACATTGAGAAAGAAAAAACCCAAAATTGAAAAAAAATTGATTTTCTGTTTCTGTGTTTCTGGTTGTAAGGATGCTCATCATTTTTTTAATTCAAATGTGTTTTGTCAAATATATCACCATCAAATTTTAAATGGCTCTTTTTTTATCCATTGAATGTTTTTGTTGTTTTTTTGGTTTTGGTTGTTGTTGTTGTTTCGCTTGTTGTTGTTGATTTGATTTTTGTTGTTGTTGTTTAGGTTGTTGTTGTTGATTGGATGTTTTGTTGTTGTTGTTGTTGTTTTGATTATTATCATTATTAATATTAGTATCACTTCTTTTTTTAATTATTGTACTTTGTACCATTGTCATTATACGAAATAATGGTGTTGAAATTTGATATGAAATCATTTCAACTGTTGGCCTTTCATTTGGTTCTTGATTTAACATTGATTTGATTAAATTTTGCCATCGTTCATTAATATTTGTTGCAAATGATAATGATTTTAATGATGATGATTTCAATGATGTATTACTGTTTGTTGTTGTTGTCATATCAATATTAGGTAATTTTTGATGTAACATTTCATAAAGACATACACCCATTGAATATACATCAGCTTTTTTTGCATTATATTGAAATTGTTGTTGTTGTTGTTGTTCATCATCATTAATTTTAGTAATTTTTGCTATTTCTGGTGCCATATAACCATCTGAACCACATCTAGTTTGCCTTATTAAATGTTCAATAATTAACCGACCTTGTTTAATACCTATAGCAGCAAAACCAAAATCACCAATCAATGGTTGACGATTATTATCAAGGAAAAAATTATCCAATTTTAAATCACGATGTGCAATATTTTTACTATGCATATATTGTAAACCGGTAATCAAACCGGTAAATAAACGGCCAGCTTCACCCGTATCATATGGATGATTTTGTCGATCCATTTCTAAACGTATACTACCATTAGAATAATATTCCATTATAATAACAGCATAGGTATTTGTTTTAAAATAATCATATGTACGAACAATATTTGGATGTTGTAATAATTTTGATATAAACATTTCATGTTTTAAACATTTTGTTACCCAAATTCTATTTGTTTCATTTAAATTCATTACTTTTGCCGCATAAATATGACCATTATTATTATTTTGATTCAAGTAACGAACTTTGTAAACGCTGTGAAATTCAAAAGAAAAAATCACTGTTTTTGTTTTATAAATGATGGAAAAACTTACGTTGAAAATCCACCTTCACCAATAATTTCCAATGGTTCAATTTGTTTCCTTCGTAAATATTCATCGATTATTGTTTCAGTTGATTTTGATGTTTTTAATGTTGTTAATGATGATGATTTATTTAATATTAATTGATTTTCATACGTTAATGATGAAAAAAGTTGTTGTTGCTGTTGTTGATCATTATTTTGAAAAGATCGTGATTTTATTTTGTTCATCGATTTTGATTTGGATTTTGATTTCGATTTGATTTTCATAAATTTTTTTATTGTTTTTTTACAAATCAATGAATCTTGACGATTAATATTATTGTTGTTATTATTATTATTATTTGAAAGATTATTTTTGATAAAATTATCTTTGTTGTTGTCTTTGCTGTTGTTTTTGTTGTTGATTTTTTGTTCACTTTTCAAAGTTTTTTTCTTTTCCATTTCTGCTCGAATATTCTTAATAATTTTTTTCTCTGCTGTTAGAAGGACTAAATAATCGATTGTATCGAAAAAATTTCGATTCGATATTTATATGTTCGAAAACAGAGAAAACATTCGAATTTGAGAATTTTCAAAGTAAATTTGATTTTTTTTTTTTTTTTGTTTTAATTTTTTCAGTTTTTTGCTTTGAATAAAGATTTTTTGAATTGCGAAAAAACAATGGTT